CCCACCATGTCTGTCCTCTTTGGGATGGGTCCTTCTTCACCCAGCCCTGAACCCACCAGGACCAGGTTCCTCCCAATCAGGAGACACCCCAGGGATGGAGACCCACCATGGCCATGGGTCTGTCCTCCTTGGGGTGGGACCTTCCTCCTCCAGCCCTGAACCCACCCCAGACCCCACCAGAATCAGGTTCCTCCAGGTTCCTCCCACTCAGGAAAGCTCCAGGGATGGGGACCCCCAAACTCCCTCAACCCAGGGCTGGCCCGTTGACCTCATGGGTCCCACCCTCAACCCCACCTGTGTGTCCCCCCACCCCCCCAACCCAGCACCCCCAGGACAGTGTCAGTGGGTGGTCACCACGTGCTGATAATGGGTGGTCACCAATGGGTGGTCACCATGTGCCAATAATGGGACATCACCAATGGGTGGTCACCAATGGGTGGTCCCCAAGTGCCAATAGGTGGTCACCAATGGGTGGTCACCACGTGCCAATGGGTGGTCACCATGTGCTGATAATGGGTCATCACCAATGGGAGGGTGAACACGTGCTCATGGGTGGTCACCATGTGCCAATGGGTGGTCACCAATGGGTGGTCCCCAAGTGCCAATAGGTGGTCACCAATGGGTGGTCACCACGTGCCAATGGGTGGTCACCATGTGCTGATAATGGTGCAGAGGAGGTGGGGGCTTCAACACGTGCCCATAGGTGGTCACCAATGGGTGGTCACCACGTGCCAATAATGGGTCATCACCAATGGGGGGTCACCATGTGCCAATGGGTGGTCACCAATGGATGGTCACCATGTGCCCATGGGTGGTCACCACGTGCCCATGGGTGGTCACCCACCCAACCCAGCACCCCCAGGACCGGCAGCACCAGGTCCGTTTGGCCCTGGGCAACGGGCTCCGCGCCGAGGTCTGGCGGGAGTTCCTGCGGCGCTTCGGGCCCGTGACCATCCGGGAGTTCTACGGGGCCACCGAGGGCAACGCCGGGTTCGTCAACTACACCGGGCAGATCGGGGCGGTGGGAAGGGACAACGTGTTCCTCAAGGTCAGCTGGGAGGGGGGGGGAGGGCAAGATGGGG